TTGCCACGGGGGGGGCTTGTCCCTACCGGTGATTGGTCACGATTCGATTCGCCTTCTCATTGGCTGCACAAGCAAAGCCTGGTTGCAGCCAATCAGCACGAACCAATCCCGCCCAGGGAAGGGATAAAAAGGGAAGAAGCGTTGCGTCAGTGAGATTTTTTCAGCCAGGTTCGGGGAGGAGAGGTTGAAGTTTTACAGGTGCTGAAGCCATGTCCGGCCGCGGGAAGCAGGGAGGTAAAGTCCGGGCGAAAGCGAAGTCGCGCTCGTCGCGGGCCGGGCTGCAGTTCCCGGTGGGCCGCGTCCACCGGTTGCTCCGCAAGGGCAACGAGGCGGAGCGGGTCGGGGCTGGAGCTCCCGTCTACATGGCGGCCGTGCTGGAGTACCTGACGGCCGAGATCCTGGAGCTGGCGGGCAACGCGGCCCGCGACAACAAGAAGACGCGCATCATCCCCCGCCACCTGCAGCTGGCCATCCGCAACGACGAGGAGCTCAACAAGCTGCTGGGCAAGGTGACCATCGCGCAGGGCGGGGTGCTGCCCAACATCCAGGCCGTGCTGCTGCCCAAGAAGACTGAGAGCCACAAGGCTAAAAGCAAATAAGTTCGGCGAGTAAAGCTTGGACTTTTTGCAACATATTAAACCCAAAGGCTCTTTTCAGAGCCACCCACACAGTCAGAAAAGAGCTGGGTCCTTTTACTTACTGAAGTGTTTTGATGTTTCTTTAATGCTGCTTTTATTACAGAACTGAATCTGCTGTGGTAATGTTTTAAAATTTTGTTTCTGTCCAACTGTTTCTAACTTGTTTTTAATTAAAGAGTACTAGTTATATTTTTAATTATATATTTTGCTGCTTGTCTTGTAACTAAACCACTTGTTCTTAATGTTGAATCTGCTCAACTCGCATGACTTTACAGACTATGGTGTGTGGGAGGGGGAGAGAGAGAAAAAGGTGGTTAGAAGTGGAGAAAGCTGCACAGCATGAAAATAAATAGAAGACCAACCCAAAGGCACATAAGTAAATCTGAGAATGAAACAAGGCTTCCTCTGTGGGCCTTTGTTCTTCAAAAGATGTAAAGCTTCCTTGTGACTTCATGTTACTTGTGAATTAAATGAGAAATGGTTTAGGGGAAGTGGCTCATTTTGTTCTAGATTATTAAGCAGCCAGACCTGCAGCAGTGTAGCATGTTTCCATTCAGAAGAATCTCCTGCTGTGTTTCAGTTATAGTGGAATTTTTACACTTGCCACTCTTCCAAATTTCCACACTGTGTTATTCCTCTTGTTACGTGAGTTAACAGCAGGCAATACTATTTGAATTAATATTCTACATTTCTGGCACAAGTATCACCTAAAAAAAAACCTGTTAAAAGATTTTTAGAATTGCTGTTATTAACTATGAGAAAAACTGTCTAGCTGATTCCCCTTGCTAGGATGTTCCCAGAAGATGCCCATGACTGTCTGCAGCACCCTGTAGCTGGGAGTAACACTCACCTGTGCCTTCCCCAGTCATGGGGAGAAGGAGGAATGCTCTGGGCCTGCAGGAAGGAAAATAGCACCTAAAGATACTACCTCCTGCATGTTTCTTCTGCATCCCCAGGCTGTAGCAGGAAAGCTTTTATGTAGGACCATATCACTGCTGAAGTGGAACATCAGTGGATCACTTGTGGAGAAGACCAGACTGTTCTGACTTGGTAGGAGTATTTCTGCCTCAGGATTCTGTTTGCAAGTGGATACATTTAGAGCTGTAATGTTTTCAGGATGCTATTTTATTTATCTTCATTAGCTGCAGCTGCATACATCCTGACACTTATTTCTCTTCTTGAAGAACTATTATAATACAAAAAACTGTGCCTTAACATGCACAAGTCTTCTGTATTTAGTTTCCAAAACAGATACCTGCATATTTTTGTGTCAGAAGATCACAATTATAGAGCAGTTTGGGTTGTAATGGGCTATGAAAGTTCACCTAGTTCCAACTTCCCTGAATGTGCAGGGACACCTCCTACTAGACCAAGTTGCTCCAAGCCCCATCCAACCTGGCTTTGAACACTAACAAGGAGGAATCATCTACAGCTGTTCTGGGAAACCTGTTCCAGTGTCTCACCACCCTCATTGCAAAACCTTTCTTCCTTTTATCTAACTTAAATCCTATCTTCTTTAATTTAAAATCATTGCCCCTTGTCCTGTCACTACAGGCCTTGGTAGAAAGTCTCTCTGTCTTTCTGTATTGAAAGTCTGCAATAAGATCTTCCCAGACACTTCTCCAGACTGAACCATTCCAGGTTTCTTAGTCTGACCTCCCAGGAGAGGTGTTCCAGCCCTCTGATCATTTTAGTGGCCCTCCTCTGGACCTTCTCTAAACTACTTCATATCTTCCTTGTGCTGAGGACCCCAGAACTGGATGCAGTACTGCAGGTGGCGTCTCAGCAGAGCAGAGGGGGAGAATTACTTCCCTTGGCCTGCTGCTTTTTATGCAGCTCAGGATATGGTGGCCTTTCTGGGCCACAAGAGAACATCTAGATTAAAGCACTGGAATTCCAGAGAAAGCCCATCAAGGTGGAGTATCTGTATCCAGGAGTGGGTTTTCTCCATGAACAAAGTCCTATATGTAAAAAACAGAGTTAAAACCATAGGAGAGGGCCCTGTCCTTCTCTGATAATGAAAGTCAGTCCAGCACATCTTTCCAAATTATTCATGACATCTGCCCAGAAACTCATTAGTTTCTTCAGAATTTTATTTGAAATATTTTTTATTTCACTTACAGCTCTGCTCACCTCGGTAACTGGAGTTTCACCCTCTGTGATACTGAGGCTCACTTCTTAGCATTCCCTAATTTTGTTCTTGGTCACTAGTGGTTTTTTTCAGTTGTGAACCCTGTGCTGCCATCACAACGATGAGGTCTCAAAAATAAATGTACATGTCCTATAAGTCAGATGAAGTATATTACGAGAGTTCTGGCAAGCCTATTGGTGTTAAGAGCTCGTGGCTTTCAAGCAAATTCCTATGGATGAAACAACAAACCAAGTTTAAATAAATTAGTTTCCTTTCATTGGCATATACAACAAACAGCAGTAAAGAGAAATTCCATACCATATGGTGCCCTTAGCTGCACCGTTGTGTTCCAGTACACCTGGACATTCCAAAGAACTCCAACCAATCTCCCTCAAAAGCTATAGAGAGTTATGTTTTGGGCTAACTTAATAATGTCAGTCTATAGATCAAGTCTTAGAACTGCAGAGTTTAAAAAATGAGATGAGAGGCTTTTGTATCCCTTTTCACCTTTACTTTGCTGGCAATGTTAAGAAAAAAGTAATATATTAAAAAGATTTTATTTAATTTGCATATTGTTGTTATTAGTAGTAGTACAGTTGTAGCAGATAGAGATATGGATTTAAATGGCCATATAAGCTCTCCAGAACATTAAAAGAAACCTCATAGTTAGATATAATACATCGATGTGGTGATTTAATTTATTTTTTTTTTTTCTTATTATGTCCATTTTTGTGCAGTCACGGTGAGATTCTGCCTTACTGCAACAACAACAAAAAATGCAGTTTCCTTATTACAGTTCAAAGAGGAAATAGGGCAACTGTCCTAATTAAATCACACATGAAAACATACAGATTTTTATTAATGGAAGACAGTTTTGCAAAACTTTGCTTTCTTGTTTAACTCCTAATACTATGTGTCCAAACGCAAGAGCAAAATTTAGTTCCCATAATCTGGGAATTGGATTATAAATTTTGATCTGAATATTAATTATTGTCTTTATCCAGAGTAAAAGCAACTTCAGTAGAAAATAGATTCAGCAGCCAAATTTTCCTTCCACTTTAATTGGTTTTGTCTAAGACAACTTTCTGGTCCATGAAAAAAACCTGGCTGTGTCACTCACAGAAGCACTTAGGAAACACGTCTATGGCCACATGTAGAAACCTACAGACAAGACAGCCTTCGAGAAAGCATGACATTAAAATATATCAAATGTGCTCCCACTTTGGGGAAAGGGCTCTGAAGTTGATTAATCCATAAACTACTGTTTCCAGCCTCCTCCCCACTCATTTCTGCCAGGGCACTTTGAAAGATGATTTGCCAAGTATTTCACTGGTTATACTGCTAGAGAGAAAAGTTATACTAGTATACTCATCCTGCATTTAAGAAGAGTTATAAAGAAACCATTAGTTTTATACACTAAAAGGTTTCCTGTAATTGGTTTAGGTTTTCTGAATGTTCAGAAGTTTGTTTTTCAATGCCGCAGGAATAATATCTAGACCTTCAGATATAATGAACAAAGCAGACTTTGTGGAGCCAACTGGTAATGCTGGGAACTAGACTGGTAGGACCACTAGTGACAATCCTTCGAGTTAGGTTATTAACAGTTGTAGTTTATTCTGTTTGTTCAAAAACTGTCCATAATTAAATTAAAGTGACTTCTGATGGCCCGTGTTATATATATTTCAGTGGCAAATATTTTACTTTAAATTGTTTAAAATACCAGTTTGAATGAAAATGGAATACATAGTAGTAATTATAAACATAGAAAACCCCACATAATTTTGGACACCTGTTAGGTAATATGTCAATCATGTTTTATCTCGAATCTAAGTAATATATCCTGTCAATAAATATTCTGGAGATGTTGTCTAAATTCTATAAATTTTGTTCAGGAATGAAATTCCATAAACAACTGTAAAATTTTTAAAATATAAAAATCACTTTAAAGAGGCAAACTTGAAGTGCACAAAATACTAATAATATAACAATTGGCAGGTACTGAAGACATATCACTTTTATTCTGAGTGTGTATGTAAATATAAAATCTTAACACATTTAATATAAACATATAGACTCGTAAATTTCAGTGTATGTTCTTCACCTTACAAATAGGATCCAGCAACTGTAAGACTCAAGGGTGACAGGCTCGTTAGCAAGTGAGTCAAAAAAGTCACAGCAAGATTTCTGGATTCCTCAAATGAGGAAAAAAAGCCTGGTTATGGTTCAACTTTTAAATGTCGTACAGACACCCAGCTGCTTATACCTTTCATGTTGTTTCCCTTACTGGATCCAGCTGCACGTTACCGACCATTTCTCTAAGCGGCCGGCAGCTCCCGGGAGCGACCCCGGCGCCCTGAGGACGGTGCTGCCCTTGGGGTGGGCGAAGAGGAAAAACTCGGACTGTTTCTCGTGCTCTTCCCAGCAGCCTCCTCTAGTTGCCTTCGTAAGAGCTTCAGGTGGAAGCAAATCCCACCGGAGCCCCTCACAGACAATTTTCCCAGCCGCTTAAGGCCTGACTCCCTCTGCTCCCTCTCTCACTCCCTGCTCTTT